CCGGTTCGCCCCTTGTGCTCTCCTGTAATGCTTATACACTTCATGTGCCCGCTCTGCTGGCCCCATACATGCTTATGTGTACACTTCATGAGCCCGCTCTGCGGCCTCTTTGTACATTCACTCCACGTTAAGAAATTCCCCCGGTATATCCCTGGGTTTTTCATGAGTGGATTCGTAGCGCGCACGGCGTTGGCCAGGTGTTCCCGCAGCGTAAGCTAGCTTACGCAATACGAGAGAACCTCTCGTAAGAGAACGAATCGGTTACCTAACGTAACCTCGGTTCTCTCTAGAAGAGGGAACGAGTATTGCGTTCCCGGCCGTGCTTGCGCTACTAGCGTTTCGCTTCACGCTGAAATAAATCAACATATAAGCCTGGGAGAGCGCCTTATATACACCATGGCCACGCCCATTCTGGCGGGTCATGACGCAATGAGCGCGCGGGCGCCTCTCATTGGAAGCGGGTTCAGCCCCGCTCTCCCATAGGCTTAAGCAGTTCTCTCTGAGCGAACCAATGAGCTGCTAGCTAGCCCGCTCTAGGTCTGCCGCAGAGGAACTGCGTTGTGTATGGATACAAAATTATGAAATAATTTTTTGGCTTCAATATCTCAGCAAAGATGGATCTTTCCCGCAGCGTAAGCTAGCTTACGCAATACTCGTTCCCTCTTCTAGAGAGAACCGAGGTTACGTTAGGTAACCGATTCGTTTTTGCAATACAGCAGAAAAAATGCTCAAATTTTATTTTGATTTTAACATCAGAGACAAGAAGTTCTGAATCTCATTTACGTAGAGATTCCAGGCGGGGGAGGGGTATATTTTCTGGTAACTGCTCTTGCATAGTGTGATTTTGTTCATCTACAAGGCCAGAGCGTTCCCATCGGACCTGTAACGTATGTGTTCAAAAGTCCCGCTCTTATTTTGTTATCCTCCCAGCAAACAATACAATTGTTTATGGTGTCATTAAGCAGCTTGTTCATTTGTCTCCTCCATTGGTAGGAAGTAGATACCTGATCTTGATATCACTCTTGTTTGTAGCGATTGTTATTTTCTTGTATCTTTGTCAATATGCAATTTTTTAACTGTTCTTCCTCCAGTCAAATAGTTCCACAAAAACTAAGATCATCACTGCAACACACACCCGACACAGAATCGGCTCTGGCTCTTTTCACACTGATATTTTCCATGATTTATCCCAGTATTATTACTAGGGTCTTGTATGAGTGCCGAATTTTCCAGCATTCTGGCTCTGGCTTGTAGAATGCTCCCCGACAATTTTCTGGAACCAAAGTCTATTGTGAACGCAGCCCTTATTTTCACCAGAACTTCTGAACATATCTAGAACTGCATCTTTGGCTGATTTTATGCTTCAGGTGATCAGATATGTCTGCTCTGGACTTTCTCAATCTTTGCCAACTTGGAAAGTTGAATTTATTTTACTAGAGGATGCAAGAGCGACTGACTCCAGAAGAGGGTCTTGGGTCAATAAAGGTCTTTAAAACTGAGGTATAAAACGGGAAAACTCCCTTTTCAGCTGTGAATAACATATGATTACACCAGAACTAAATCTCAAAAATCTCTCAAAATCTACATTATAGCATTTTGCCAAAAAAAAAAAAAAAGATATTTTGTTGAAATGTATAAATTATATACTGTACCCAGTCCTCCTAAGGTTAAACCAGGTGTCTTTAATTAGGCTGCAGGAGAAGCTTAATACTATGACACCTTTAATACTATGACACCTTTAATACTATAATCAAGCACTTTCCTCAAACTTGACATTGAATCACAAATAAAGTATGAGTTTGTCTTGCAGTGTAGCTTTATTTTTCCCAACCCAACACAATCACACATTTCAGAAATCCAACACCATTAAAAGACAGAAACATAATCTCATTAAATTATTCATCTACAGACACATGAACTATATTCAATTATGTGTGCAAGCCTCATCTTCAGCATCCATACAGCTTCTTGATCCTCAGAACGTCAATTTTTGACAATCCCTGCCTCTGTCCGATTTCCACAGTCTCATCAGGAATGGGAGTGATGGTTTCCAGCCAGGGCCGAGTGGAGAAGGCAGTTCTTCCATAGTGCATGATGGAGCTGTAGTCGTATGGAGTGTTTTGGTTGTTGGTGTTCTGTTTCTCGAAGTTGTAGGCCATATCAGGAGAGATGTTCTCAAAGTTGATTTTCACATACTGGTCACGATCGCTCCTGGTTTGCTCGTGGTAGAATCCCAGGGCATGATTGAGCTCATGTTGTACGATGCCATTGTACATACAGCCGTCCCTTTTGAGGGAGACCACCTGTTTGCCACCAGTTCTACCTAGAGCAGAGAAGCACCTGAGAGGAGAGAGGAAATAAAGGGGTTAAAAATTGATCTGTTAAAGGTCTGTTAAATGCTTCTTGTTGGTATAGTGTTCTCACCCATCTTTGTTCTCAATACTGATGTAGTCGGTCTGAGATGATTTGGCCACAAAGCGGATGCAGGTTTTGGCGTGAAAGACCGACATGGCGTTCGCAATCACTGATTTGTCAAAATTGGCTGCAAAAAGGGTCCACAGGTTTAAAACAGCATCTAAATGAATCGTAGATATGTTCAATGAATGAAGGAGATTCACGTACAGAATTCACTGCTCACTATGTAAGGGATCTCCACTATGTTGTTAGAGTTTTTCTTCCAGAAACAGTTGTTTTTGAGGCAGTAGAGAGCGTTTCTGGTTTTGGGAAACACCAGATCTCCTTCAAGCAAGACTTCAGAAGATCCTGTTTTTAAAGACAAATATATTGATGAAATACTGCAATATATTCATAAATCCCGATCACTTTTTAGAAATGTGACCCATTGCTGGCTTTATCTACAAGATGCTTCACCATTGTTGGTTTCTAAAATCCTTGTAGTGATGTCCACAGGTTCCGGCTCTGATACAAACACACCATCAAACATCTGCTCCTGGTGGTAGAAACAGAGATGTTTAAAACAAATCATTTGAGGACTGTTAATCGTTTAAGGGAGAGACTAGAAAGGACCTTACCATGAGTGGAGACGCCTGGGTGACGCCAAAAAGCAGCAGCAGAATGGAGAGGGAGGCTCTTGTGTCCATGTTGCCTCAGTGTGTGGAGATGTTCAGGATGCTCCTGTGCTGAGATTTGATGCCTATGAGCTGTTCTGTCTGGACTTTATATTCACCTGAGTAGGTGGGTCTACTGGAGGATTATGGGTAGGGTCTTAGTGTCCAGAGTCTAAAATGTGTACCTACAGGGAGGAAACTCTGACCTCGCCTGTTGGTCCAAAACTTTACACAATCATAAAATATACCTCAGTTTGTTTAACTAATTCACTAAAATGGACATGCTGTAGCTTTTGGACTTTACCACGTGCCCTAAGACAGTGGTACAGGGATGGTCCACAATACCTTAAATGCGCTCTGTATGTAGATTACAAATGAATCCTTATTTGTGAGAACATCTGAATTCACTATAGAGATTAGTAAACGACCCCAAATATATTAGCAAGATGGACAACTAGTTATTTAATAGAAACATTTTTGCTTATAGCTAAACTGAAAGCATCTGATTTAACAGGGAGAAAAGGACTGTTACTGAGAATTGCTAAAATATTTTCAGGAGAAATGTAGTAATGTAGTATTTCATTGCATTACACCGCTTCTTAATTGATATAATTGTTTTGTTACTGAAAAGCAAAATGATTTCAAACAATGACAAAACCACCTCGCTGATTAGTAAAGTAGTTTAATCGTTTAACTATACGCATGACAATGCTACTGCATTTTAAACATTAAACTGTACACCATTACTAGTTAAAGAAAAGCCACATTTCAACTCTTTGAGGTTTAAAGTTTTGATCAAAAAAGTTTCTAATTCGATTTTTACAGAACTTATGTATTTTATTTTGTAGTCCAGATGTTATAATCAGTTTTTGCAATACAGCAGAAAAAATGCTCAAATTTTATTTTGATTTTAACATCAGAGACAAGAAGTTCTGAATCTCATTTACGTAGAGATTCCAGGCGGGGGAGGGGTATATTTTCTGGTAACTGCTCTTGCATAGTGTGATTTTGTTCATCTACAAGGCCAGAGCGTTCCCATCGGACCTGTAACGTATGTGTTCAAAAGTCCCGCTCTTATTTTGTTATCCTCCCAGCAAACAATACAATTGTTTATGGTGTCATTAAGCAGCTTGTTCATTTGTCTCCTCCATTGGTAGGAAGTAGATACCTGATCTTGATATCACTCTTGTTTGTAGCGATTGTTATTTTCTTGTACCTTTGTCAATATGCAATTTTTTAACTGTTCTTCCTCCAGTCAAATAGTTCCACAAAAACTAAGATCATCACTGCAACACACACCCGACACAGAATCGGCTCTGGCTCTTTTCACACTGATATTTTCCATGATTTATCCCAGTATTATTACTAGGGTCTTGTATGAGTGCCGAATTTTCCAGCATTCTTGCTCTGGCTTGTAGAATGCTCCCCGACAATTTTCTGGAACCAAAGTCTATTGTGAACGCAGCCCTTATTTTCACCAGAACTTCTGAACATACCTAGAACTGCATCTTTGGCTGATTTTATGCTTCAGGTGATCAGATGTATGTCTGCTCTGGACTTTCTCAATCTTTGCCAACTTGGAAAGTTGAATTTATTTTACTAGAGGATGCAAGAGCGACTGACTCCAGAAGAGGGTCTTGGGTCAATAAAGGTCTTTAAAACTGAGGTATAAAACGGGAAAACTCCCTTTTCAGCTGTGAATAACATATGATTACACCAGAACTAAATCTCAAAAATCTCTCAAAATCTACATTATAGCATTTTGCCAAAAAAAAAAAAAAAAGATATTTTGTTGAAATGTATAAATTATATACTGTACCCAGTCCTCCTAAGGTTAAACCAGGTGTCTTTAATTAGGCTGCAGGAGAAGCTTAATACTATGACACCTTTAATACTATGACACCTTTAATACTATAATCAAGCACTTTCCTCAAACTTGACATTGAATCACAAATAAAGTATGAGTTTGTCTTGCAGTGTAGCTTTATTTTTCCCAACCCAACACAATCACACATTTCAGAAATCCAACACCATTAAAAGACAGAAACATAATCTCATTAAATTATTCATCTACAGACACATGAACTATATTCAATTATGTGTGCAAGCCTCATCTTCAGCATCCATACAGCTTCTTGATCCTCAGAACGTCAATTTTTGACAATCCCTGCCTCTGTCCGATTTCCACAGTCTCATCGGGAATGGGAGTGATGGTTTCCAGCCAGGGCCGAGTGGAGAAGGCAGTTCTTCCATAGTGCATGATGGAGCTGTAGTCGTATGGAGTGTTTTGGTTGTTGGTGTTCTGTTTCTCGAAGTTGTAGGCCATATCAGGAGAGATGTTCTCAAAGTTGATTTTCACATACTGGTCACGATCGCTCCTGGTTTGCTCGTGGTAGAATCCCAGGGCATGATTGAGCTCATGTTGTACGATGCCATTGTACATACAGCCGTCCCTTTTGAGGGAGACCACCTGTTTGCCACCAGTTCTACCTAGAGCAGAGAAGCACCTGAGAGGAGAGAGGAAATAAAGGGGTTAAAAATTGATCTGTTAAAGGTCTGTTAAATGCTTCTTGTTGGTATAGTGTTCTCACCCATCTTTGTTCTCAATACTGATGTAGTCGGTCTGAGATGATTTGGCCACAAAGCGGATGCAGGTTTTGGCGTGAAAGACCGACATGGCGTTCGCAATCACTGATTTGTCAAAATTGGCTGCAAAAAGGGTCCACAGGTTTAAAACAGCATCTAAATGAATCGTAGATATGTTCAATGAATGAAGGAGATTCACGTACAGAATTCACTGCTCACTATGTAAGGGATCTCCACTATGTTGTTAGAGTTTTTCTTCCAGAAACAGTTGTTTTTGAGGCAGTAGAGAGCGTTTCTGGTTTTGGGAAACACCAGATCTCCTTCAAGCAAGATTTCAGAAGATCCTGTTTTTAAAGACAAATATATTGATGAAATACTGCAATATATTCATAAATCCCGATCACTTTTTAGAAATGTGACCCATTGCTGGCTTTATCTACAAGATGCTTCACCATTGTTGGTTTCTAAAATCCTTGTAGTGATGTCCACAGGTTCCGGCTCTGATACAAACACACCATCAAACATCTGCTCCTGGTGGTAGAAACAGAGATGTTTAAAACAAATCATTTGAGGACTGTTAATCGTTTAAGGGAGAGACTAGAAAGGACCTTACCATGAGTGGAGACGCCTGGGTGACGCCAAAAAGCAGCAGCAGAATGGAGAGGGAGGCTCTTGTGTCCATGTTGCCTCAGTGTGTGGAGATGTTCAGGATGCTCCTGTGCTGAGATTTGATGCCTATGAGCTGTTCTGTCTGGACTTTATATTCACCTGAGTAGGTGGGTCTACTGGAGGATTATGGGTAGGGTCTTCGTGTCCAGAGTCTAAAATGTGTACCTACAGGGAGGAAACTCTGACCTCGCCTGTTGGTCCAAAACTTTACACAATCATAAAATATACCTCAGTTTGTTTAACTAATTCACTAAAATGGACATGCTGTAGCTTTTGGACTTTACCACGTGCCCTAAGACAGTGGTGTACAGGGATGGTCCACAATACCTTAAATGCGCTCTGTATGTAGATTACAAATGAATCCTTATTTGTGAGAACATCTGAATTCACTATAGAGATTAGTAAACGACCCCAAATATATTAGCAAGATGGACAACTAGTTATTTAATAGAAACATTTTTGCTTATAGCTAAACTGAAAGCATCTGATTTAACAGGGAGAAAAGGACTGTTACTGAGAATTGCTAAAATATTTTCAGGAGAAATGTAGTAATGTAGTATTTCATTGCATTACACCGCTTCTTAATTGATATAATTGTTTTGTTACTGAAAAGCAAAATGATTTCAAACAATGACAAAACCACCTCGCTGATTAGTAAAGTAGTTTAATCGTTTAACTACGCATGACAATGCTACTGCATTTTAAACATTAAACTGTACACCATTACTAGTTAAAGAAAAGCCACATTTCAACTCTTTGAGGTTTAAAGTTTTGATCAAAAAAGTTTCTAATTCGATTTTTACAGAACTTATGTATTTTATTTTGTAGTCCAGATGTTATAATCAGTTTTTGCAATACAGCAGAAAAAATGCTCAAATTTTATTTTGATTTTAACATCAGAGACAAGAAGTTCTGAATCTCATTTACGTAGAGATTCCAGGCGGGGGAGGGGTATATTTTCTGGTAACTGCTCTTGCATAGTGTGATTTTGTTCATCTACAAGGCCAGAGCGTTCCCATCGGACCTGTAACGTATGTGTTCAAAAGTCCCGCTCTTATTTTGTTATCCTCCCAGCAAACAATACAATTGTTTATGGTGTCATTAAGCAGCTTGTTCATTTGTCTCCTCCATTGGTAGGAAGTAGATACCTGATCTTGATATCACTCTTGTTTGTAGCGATTGTTATTTTCTTGTATCTTTGTCAATATGCAATTTTTTAACTGTTCTTCCTCCAGTCAAATAGTTCCACAAAAACTAAGATCATCACTGCAACACACACCCGACACAGAATCGGCTCTGGCTCTTTTCACACTGATATTTTCCATGATTTATCCCAGTATTATTACTAGGGTCTTGTATGAGTGCCGAATTTTCCAGCATTCTGGCTCTGGCTTGTAGAATGCTCCCCGACAATTTTCTGGAACCAAAGTCTATTGTGAACGCAGCCCTTATTTTCACCAGAACTTCTGAACATGTCTAGAACTGCATCTTTGGCTGATTTTATGCTTCAGGTGATCAGATGTATGTCTGCTCTGGACTTTCTCAATCTTTGCCAACTTGGAAAGTTGAATTTATTTTACTAGAGGATGCAAGAGCGACTGACTCCAGAAGAGGGTCTTGGGTCAATAAAGGTCTTTAAAACTGAGGTATAAAACGGGAAAACTCCCTTTTCAGCTGTGAATAACATATGATTACACCAGAACTAAATCTCAAAAATCTCTCAAAATCTACATTATAGCATTTTGCCAAAAAAAAAAAAAAAGATATTTTGTTGAAATGTATAAATTATATACTGTACCCAGTCCTCCTAAGGTTAAACCAGGTGTCTTTAATTAGGCTGCAGGAGAAGCTTAATACTATGACACCTTTAATACTATGACACCTTTAATACTATAATCAAGCACTTTCCTCAAACTTGACATTGAATCACAAATAAAGTATGAGTTTGTCTTGCAGTGTAGCTTTATTTTTCCCAACCCAACACAATCACACATTTCAGAAATCCAACACCATTAAAAGACAGAAACATAATCTCATTAAATTATTCATCTACAGACACATGAACTATATTCAATTATGTGTGCAAGCCTCATCTTCAGCATCCATACAGCTTCTTGATCCTCAGAACGTCAATTTTTGACAATCCCTGCCTCTGTCCGATTTCCACAGTCTCATCAGGAATGGGAGTGATGGTTTCCAGCCAGGGCCGAGTGGAGAAGGCAGTTCTTCCATAGTGCATGATGGAGCTGTAGTCGTATGGAGTGTTTTGGTTGTTGGTGTTCTGTTTCTCGAAGTTGTAGGCCATATCAGGAGAGATGTTCTCAAAGTTGATTTTCACATACTGGTCACGATCGCTCCTGGTTTGCTCGTGGTAGAATCCCAGGGCATGATTGAGCTCATGTTGTACGATGCCATTGTACATACAGCCGTCCCTTTTGAGGGAGACCACCTGTTTGCCACCAGTTCTACCTAGAGCAGAGAAGCACCTGAGAGGAGAGAGGAAATAAAGGGGTTAAAAATTGATCTGTTAAAGGTCTGTTAAATGCTTCTTGTTGGTATAGTGTTCTCACCCATCTTTGTTCTCAATACTGATGTAGTCGGTCTGAGATGATTTGGCCACAAAGCGGATGCAGGTTTTGGCGTGAAAGACCGACATGGCGTTCGCAATCACTGATTTGTCAAAATTGGCTGCAAAAAGGGTCCACAGGTTTAAAACAGCATCTAAATGAATCGTAGATATGTTCAATGAATGAAGGAGATTCACGTACAGAATTCACTGCTCACTATGTAAGGGATCTCCACTATGTTGTTAGAGTTTTTCTTCCAGAAACAGTTGTTTTTGAGGCAGTAGAGAGCGTTTCTGGTTTTGGGAAACACCAGATCTCCTTCAAGCAAGACTTCAGAAGATCCTGTTTTTAAAGACAAATATATTGATGAAATACTGCAATATATTCATAAATCCCGATCACTTTTTAGAAATGTGACCCATTGCTGGCTTTATCTATAAGATGCTTCACCATTGTTGGTTTCTAAAATCCTTGTAGTGATGTCCACAGGTTCCGGCTCTGATACAAACACACCATCAAACATCTGCTCCTGGTGGTAGAAACAGAGATGTTTAAAACAAATCATTTGAGGACTGTTAATCGTTTAAGGGAGAGACTAGAAAGGACCTTACCATGAGTGGAGACGCCTGGGTGACGCCAAAAAGCAGCAGCAGAATGGAGAGGGAGGCTCTTGTGTCCATGTTGCCTCAGTGTGTGGAGATGTTCAGGATGCTCCTGTGCTGAGATTTGATGCCTATGAGCTGTTCTGTCTGGACTTTATATTCACCTGAGTAGGTGGGTCTACTGGAGGATTATGGGTAGGGTCTTCGTGTCCAGAGTCTAAAATGTGTACCTACAGGGAGGAAACTCTGACCTCACCTGTTGGTCCAAAACTTTACACAATCATAAAATATACCTCAGTTTGTTTAACTAATTCACTAAAATGGACATGCTGTAGCTTTTGGACTTTACCACGTGCCCTAAGACAGTGGTGTACAGGGATGGTCCACAATACCTTAAATGCGCTCTGTATGTAGATTACAAATGAATCCTTATTTGTGAGAACATCTGAATTCACTATAGAGATTGGTAAACGACCCCAAATATATTAGCAAGATGGACAACTAGTTATTTAATAGAAACATTTTTGCTTATAGCTAAACTGAAAGCATCTGATTTAACAGGGAGAAAAGGACTGTTACTGAGAATTGCTAAAATATTTTCAGGAGAAATGTAGTAATATAGTATTTCATTGCACTACACCGCTTCTTAATTGATATAATTGTTTTGTTACTGAAAAGCAAAATGATTTCAAACAATGACAAAACCACCTCGCTGATTAGTAAAGTAGTTTAATCGTTTAACTACGCATGACAATGCTACTGCATTTTAAACATTAAACTGTACACCATTACTAGTTAAAGAAAAGCCACATTTCAACTCTTTGAGGTTTAAAGTTTTGATCAAAAAAGTTTCTAATTCGATTTTTACAGAACTTATGTATTTTATTTTGTAGTCCAGATGTTATAATCAGTTTTTGCAATACAGCAGAAAAAATGCTCAAATTTTATTTTGATTTTAACATCAGAGACAAGAAGTTCTGAATCTCATTTACGTAGAGATTCCAGGCGGGGGAGGGGTATATTTTCTGGTAACTGCTCTTGCATAGTGTGATTTTGTTCATCTACAAGGCCAGAGCGTTCCCATCGGACCTGTAACGTATGTGTTCAAAAGTCCCGCTCTTATTTTGTTATCCTCCCAGCAAACAATACAATTGTTTATGGTGTCATTAAGCAGCTTGTTCATTTGTCTCCTCCATTGGTAGGAAGTAGATACCTGATCTTGATATCAATCTTGTTTGTAGCGATTGTTATTTTCTTGTATCTTTGTCAATATGCAATTTTTTAACTGTTCTTCCTCCAGTCAAATAGTTCCACAAAAACTAAGATCATCACTGCAACACACACCCGACACAGAATCGGCTCTGGCTCTTTTCACACTGATATTTTCCATGATTTATCCCAGTATTATTACTAGGGTCTTGTATGAGTGCCGAATTTTCCAGCATTCTGGCTCTGGCTTGTAGAATGCTCCCCGACAATTTTCTGGAACCAAAGTCTATTGTGAACGCAGCCCTTATTTTCACCAGAACTTCTGAACATATCTAGAACTGCATCTTTGGCTGATTTTATGCTTCAGGTGATCAGATGTATGTCTGCTCTGGACTTTCTCAATCTTTGCCAACTTGGAAAGTTGAATTTATTTTACTAGAGGATGCAAGAGCGACTGACTCCAGAAGAGGGTCTTGGGTCAATAAAGGTCTTTAAAACTGAGGTATAAAATGGGAAAACTCCCTTTTCAGCTGTGAATAACATATGATTACACCAGAACTAAATCTCAAAAATCTCTCAAAATCTACATTATAGCATTTTGCCAAAAAAAAAAAAAAAGATATTTTGTTGAAATGTATAAATTATATACTGTACCCAGTCCTCCTAAGGTTAAACCAGGTGTCTTTAATTAGGCTGCAGGAGAAGCTTAATACTATGACACCTTTAATACTATGACACCTTTAATACTATAATCAAGCACTTTCCTCAAACTTGACATTGAATCACAAATAAAGTATGAGTTTGTCTTGCAGTGTAGCTTTATTTTTCCCAACCCAACACAATCACACATTTCAGAAATCCAACACCATTAAAAGACAGAAACATAATCTCATTAAATTATTCATCTACAGACACATGAACTATATTCAATTATGTGTGCAAGCCTCATCTTCAGCATCCATACAGCTTCTTGATCCTCAGAACGTCAATTTTTGACAATCCCTGCCTCTGTCCGATTTCCACAGTCTCATCAGGAATGGGAGTGATGGTTTCCAGCCAGGGCCGAGTGGAGAAGGCAGTTCTTCCATAGTGCATGATGGAGCTGTAGTCGTATGGAGTGTTTTGGTTGTTGGTGTTCTGTTTCTCGAAGTTGTAGGCCATATCAGGAGAGATGTTCTCAAAGTTGATTTTCACATACTGGTCACGATCGCTCCTGGTTTGCTCGTGGTAGAATCCCAGGGCATGATTGAGCTCATGTTGTACGATGCCATTGTACATACAGCCGTCCCTTTTGAGGGAGACCACCTGTTTGCCACCAGTTCTACCTAGAGCAGAGAAGCACCTGAGAGGAGAGAGGAAATAAAGGCGTTAAAAATTGATCTGTTAAAGGTCTGTTAAATGCTTCTTGTTGGTATAGTGTTCTCACCCATCTTTGTTCTCAATACTGATGTAGTCGGTCTGAGATGATTTGGCCACAAAGCGGATGCAGGTTTTGGCGTGAAAGACCGACATGGCGTTCGCAATCACTGATTTGTCAAAATTGGCTGCAAAAAGAGTCCACAGGTTTAAAACAGCATCTAAATGAATCGTAGATATGTTCAATGAATGAAGGAGATTCACGTACAGAATTCACTGCTCACTATGTAAGGGATCTCCACTATGTTGTTAGAGTTTTTCTTCCAGAAACAGTTGTTTTTGAGGCAGTAGAGAGCGTTTCTGGTTTTGGGAAACACCAGATCTCCTTCGAACAAGACTTCAGAAGATCCTGTTTTTAAAGACAAATATATTGATGAAATACTGCAATATATTCATAAATCCCGATCACTTTTTAGAAATGTGACCCATTGCTGGCTTTATCTACAAGATGCTTCACCATTGTTGGTTTCTAAAATCCTTGTAGTGATGTCCACAGGTTCCGGCTCTGATACAAACACACCATCAAACATCTGCTCCTGGTGGTAGAAACAGAGATGTTTAAAACAAATCATTTGAGGACTGTTAATCGTTTAAGGGAGAGACTAGAAATGACCTTACCATGAGTGGAGACGCCTGGGCGACGCCAAAAAGCAGCAGCAGAATGGAGAGGGAGGCTCTTGTGTCCATGTTGCCTCAGTGTGTGGAGATGTTCAGGATGCTCCTGTGCTGAGATTTGATGCCTATGAGCTGTTCTGTTTGGACTTTATATTCACCTGAGTAGGTGGGTCTACTGGAGGATTATGGGTAGGGTCTTAGTGTCCAGAGTCTAAAATGTGTACCTACAGGGAGGAAACTCTGACCTCGCCTGTAGGTCCAAAACTTTAAACAATCATAAAATATACCTCAGTTTGTTTAACTAATTCACTAAAATGGACATGCTGTAGAT